CATGGCAGCGCCTCCCCCTGCACCGGAGCTGCCTTGCTGTGTGGATGCCCTTCTCCCATGGCAGTGCCTCCCCCTGCACAGGAGCTGCCTTGCTGTGCGGATGCCCTTCTCCCATGGCAGCGCCCCCCCGCACAGGCAAAGTCGCCTGTCTCCAGCCTTCTAGGCCAGGCTTTTGGGGCTTCCTCTCCGTCAGGGGCTTTATTCTTGGATCTTTATGGGTGTTTCCCTCCTTTAAAGGAGTTACGACCTTCAAGGAGACCTCGTGCTGCACAGTGGCCACTGGTGAGAACCACAGGTCCCCGCCGGGCGACACCCAGCCCTGTGTCTCCCTCACCGCGCAAGGCACTGGGGCACCCGCCTGAGGAGGCCGTGTCGGTTTGTCCACTTCTAAATTGTGCGACTTTGGCCGGACACGGTGGCTAACACCTGTAATCTAGCACTTTGCAAGGCCAAGGTGGGTGGATCACCCAAGGTCAGGAGTTCAAGACCAGCCTGGCCAGTGTGGTGAAACCCTCTCTGTACAATAAATACAAAAATTAGCCAGGTGTGGTGACACACGCCTGTAATCCCAGCTACTGAGGAGGCTGAGGTAGGAGAATCACTTGAATCCGGAAGGCAGAGATTGCAGTGAGCTGAGATCATACCACTACACTCCAGCCTGGTCTCCAAGCAAGACTCTGTCTCAAAAAATATATATATATATGTATGTATATGTATATATTCCGTGACTTCCTCAGAAATATCCTTGCATTTGCCAAGCCGTCAAGTGTGGCTCTGGCTTAGAGAACGGTCTGAACTTTTATTCACTAACTTCTCTCTTACTCATTAATGCTTGAGGTTTCTCTGTAGCCACCTCCATGCTACAGAATATACATGAAACCCTTTCAATCTTTACAGTAACTATAGGATTACCTCCATTTATAACGTGAAAAAAAATCGGCTTAGAGACTTTCGGGGTTTGTCCAAGGTCACATGAAAAGCTTGTTGTTTGCTGTTGTTGACTTGGGGAGAAAAATAAATAAAATAAAAAATGGAAGTTTGTGGTGGAGCAGGGATCTCAGTCTTGGACTGTGGGTGTCTCAGTGGCTTCAGCCTCCATGGCACTCAGGAGAGAACAGAGCTCAGGTCACTGTAGCTCTCCCACGGGTGGCAAATCACAGGATGGACATGGTGCTAGCTTGATTTTTCATTTTTATGTGAACAAATCTCCAACGTTTCAAATCCTCTTCCCCAGAGCGTCGCATTCTCCGACCTGCTGGCTTCCCTGAGCCATACGCAGGTTGGTTACTGGTATCATCTACTTTATTTAAATTAGCCCTTGTCAGGCAGATGACCTCATGTCAGGAGTTCAAGACCAGCCTGGCCAACATGGTGAAACCCCGTCTCTACTAAAAATGCAAAAATTAGCCAGGCATGGTGGTGGACACCTGTAGTCCCAGCTATTCGGGAGGCTGAGGCAGGAGACTCACTTGAACCCAAGAGGCAGAGGTTGCAGTGAGCCAAGATCGTGCCAGTGCACTCCAGCCTGGGTGACAGAGCAAGAGTCTGTCTCAAAAAAAAAAAAAAATTGTTCCCTGTGCACATATTTCTTTTTGTTTATTTCGCTTTGTTTTTGAAATTCTGAGAAAACACATTCACTATTTTAGCTCTGTCTATAAACTAGCAAGTACTTGAAGATGTTTGGGAAAGAAGGAACTGGAATGCTCCCTCTTGTTAGAGACCCCTTATCCTCACCGGAGGCCTTTGGTAAAGCACATTTTCCCCGGTGTGTCTCTGCTGGGATGCCGGCAGTCCTCCTCCCCGCCCCCCGCGGTCCTCCTCCCCGCCCCCCACGATCCTCCTCCCCACCTCCAATGGTCCTCCTCCCCATCCCCCCGCAGTCCTCCTCCCCGCCCCCCACCATCCTCCTCCCCACCTCCCATGGTCCTCCTCCCCATCCCCCCGCAGTCCTCCTCCCCGCCCCCCATGGTCCTCCTCCCCATCCCCTGTGGTCCTCCTCCCCACCCCCCGTGGTCCTCCTCCCCATCCCCCCGTGGTCATCCTCCCCACCCCTCATGGTCCTCCTCCCCAACCCCCGCAGTCATCCTCCCTGCCCTCGTGGTCCTCCTGCCCATCCATCATGGTCCTCCTCCCCACCACCCGTGGTCCTCCTCCCCACCCGCCGTGGTCCTCCTCCCCACCCCTCGTGGTCATACTCCCCTTCCCCCCATGGTCATCCTCCTTGTCCCCCTGCAGTCCTCCTCCCCGCATCCATGGTCTTCCCCACCATCCCAGCTGTCATCCTCCCCATCCCCAGCTGCTCTCCAGGGGCTGCAGGTTCATGGAGACTGGGGGCTGAAGGGCCCCTTCCCACAGCACCTATGTCTCGCTACGAGCCTGAACCAGAGAGCCTGGGAGCATGACCTGCTCATCCCGGAGAGCCCGGTGGAGGGGAATGGCATTTTCTAGATGGTATGGTGTCAGTGGGCTTTGCAGACATCTTTAAGGCCGAGGAAACCGGTAGCCCGGGGTAAAAGAAGAATGGAAGCATGGGGTGTTTCCTAGCCTTTGGTGGGTGTGAGGCCTTTGATGTATCACTGGTGGGGCGAGTGGGCGGCTTGGCCTCCCCAGATGTCACCAAAGTGACAGCCAGGCAGCAGCAGCCCATGAGGCCCCTCAGAGCCTTTCCTTCCCCATGAATGCATTTGCCTCTTCTGTTGGGCTCCGATTCTCTTACAAATTTTTCTGGATATCATTTCACTTTGATGACTCAGGGTACAGGTATATTTTCACTAGGCAAAAGGGTGGAGCATCCTGCCACGGTGGTCAGCACACTTTCAACATGGCATGCTTGTCAGGTGTTGGGGAGCACCCGGGCTGCACCCTGAAGGTGAGCGGCAACAGCGTGGTCCCTGCATGTCCTGAGCAGCTAAGGCTGCGCAGCCACGTTCTGGCTGCAGACAGGTCTCGCCCAGCCCTGCAAGTGCTGGGGATGCCCTCCTTCATGTGTCAGGTGCTGGGGATGCCCACCCCATGTGTGTGCCGGGTGCTGGGGATGTCCCCCACATGTGTACCAGGTGCTGGGGATGCCCCCCCCACGTGTCGGGTGCTGGGGATGCCCCCCCAGGTGTGGTGGGTGCTGGGGATGCCCCCCAAGTGTGTGTCAGGTGCTGGGGATGTCCCCCACATGTCTGTCGGGTGCTGGGGATGCCCTGAATGTGTGGTTGGGCTTTGCTTGGGGAAAGAGGTCGGAGACCCTGCTGTGATCCCACAGAAACTGTCTTGAGGTGTCCTGTTGAGATTTTTTTTTAACCCTGGGAACTCTGACCTCGGTGTCCACTCAGCGGCGCGGGCTTCCTCCTCCCCATGCCTTCTGTCTCCCACGTGGCTCCATCTGCCCTGCCTTGTGTGAGCTCTTGGCCACTGCTTTGGAAAAAGAAATAAACACCAGAATAATGTTGTTTTTCCTCCAAAAACTCTGTTTGTGGCATCGGTTTCTGTATCTCAGTCCACAGTGCAAACCTCCCTCCAGCCTTTATTCTAATAGAATGAGAAACCACCCAATGAAGGCTGCTGTTATTCCAGAACATTCCATGTTGATGGCAGACGGGGGTCCCGTGGATGCTTTCTTGAATCTATAGGAGTGTGTGTGTGTGTGTGTGTGTGTGTGTGTGGAGTGTGGTATGTGTGGTGTACGCTTCTGTAGGGTGTCTGTGTGTGTGAGGTGTGTGTGTATATGGAGTGTGGTATGTGTCTGTGAGCTGTTTGTGTGTGACGTGTGTGGTGTCTGTGGTTTGTGTGATGTATATTTGTGGTGTGTGTCTCTGTGTGGTGTGTGTGTGAGGTGTACATGTGTGATGTGTGTGTCTGTGGTGTGTATATGTGTGTGTGGTGTGTCTGTGATGTATGTTTGTGGTGTTTATGTGTGGTGTGTGTGTGGTGTATGTCTGTGTGTGTGATGTGTGTCTGTGATGTATATTTGTGATGTGTGTATGTACATGTGTGTGTGATGTATGTTGTGTGTGGTGTGTGTGCATGTCTGATGTGTGATGTGTGTGGTGTGTGTGTGTGATGTGTGTATCTGTGATGTATGTTTGTGATGTATGTATGTATGTGTGTGTGGTGTCTGTTATGTGTGTTTGTGGTGTGTCTGGTGTGTGTGTCTGTGATGTGTGTGTGGTGTGTGTGTGATGTATGTTCGTGGTGTGTGTGGTGTGTGTGTGATGTGTGTATATGTGATATATGTTTGTGATGCATGTATGTGTGTGTGGTGTGTGTCTGTGATGTATGTTTGTGGGTGTTTGTGTGTGGTGTGTGTATGTGTGTGATATGTGTCCATGATGTATGTTTGTGATGTGTGTGTGGTGTGTCTGGTGTGTGTGTGTGTGGTGTGTGTGTCTGTGATGTGTGTGTGTGGTATGTGTGTCTGTGATATATGTTTGTGGTGTTTGTGTGTGGTGTGTGTGTCTGTGATGTGTGTGTGTGGTATGTGTGTCTGTGATATATGTTTGTGGTGTTTGTGTGTGGTGTGTGTGTGGTGTGTGTATGTGTGTGTGATGTGTATCTGTGATGTATGTTTGATGTGTGTATGTATCTGTGTGTGGTGTGTCTGTGATATGTGTTTGTGGTGTGTCTGGTGTGTGTGTCTGTGATGTGTGTGTGTGGTGTGTGTCTGTAATGTGTGTGTGGTGTGTGTATCTGTGATGTATGTTTGTGGTGTATGTGTGTGTGATGCATGTGTATGTGTGTGTATGTGTTTATATTCTCTGGTTTTGAGAGCAAGGCCACTATTTCCTTTCTTCCCCAAGCCTGAAGGCTTCTCGGGGTGCCGTGCTGGGAGGGTGCTTTGGGGTGTTTTGACCATCCTGCTGTGCTGGCCTGCCCAGGGGTCAACTCTCACCTGCCTGAACCTCGGATCTTAGCACAAGAAGGGGCTGGTGCCACGTGGGTGCCGTGGCCCCCCGCCTGCTGGGCATCCCCAGTGCCACTAACCCCCTGCTGTGCCTCCCTCTGTCTTGCAGGAGCTGTGCCGCCAGCGCATGGCCACGCGGCCACCGGATCGACCCGAGGGCCCGCACACGTCCCGCATCAGCAGTGTCTCATCCCAGTTCAGTGATGGGCCGATGCCCAGCCCCTCTGCGCGCAGCAGCACCTCGTCCTGGTCCGAGGAGCCTGTGCAGTCCAACATGGACATCACCACCGGCCACATGATCCTGGTAAGCCCCGCCTTCGCACCTCGGCCCACAACACCCAGCGTCTGCGCCTGACCCTCGGGGACAGGACGATGGTGGCTGCGCCATGCCTGTGGCAAAGGCTGACAGGCAGGGCTCGCTCTGCAGGGAGTCCTCTCCCTGTTAATTTAGATAAACAGGAATATCTTCCTGAGATCTTGGCCGTGCTTCCGCCTGGAACGTGCAGCCCACATGCACTCCCTGGCGTGTAAGAGTGAGCGCCCGCTGGTTTCAGTGGTGGAATACATGTCTGTTAGCGCCCGCCGCGTGCGTCACCTTTTGCCCTCTCACTAGGAAGCAGCACTGTCTCCTTCATGCTCAAGCCTGGCTAGCATCGTTTGGGCAAATAAATGTCGCCACTGTGACATCGAGGCAGGAGGAAGGGGGCGGGTGCCTGGCTCTTCACAGGAAGCTTCCTGGTGGTGCCGGCACAGAGGTTCATGGTGAGGCAGTTCCGCGGCCTTTTCCAGGGTCCTCGCTGGAGAGGCCACAGGTGGAGTGGCCGTGCGTGGCCACTTCCTGCATAACAAACGTCCGGTGTTGTCACAAGAGCTGTTGATGGCTCAGTGCCTCCTGCTGCTGCCTCCTGGGTCTGCTGGCCACAAGCGTGGCCCAGTTGGTGGCCGTGGCTGTGCTGTTGGGATGAAAGGGCAGAGCCCGTTTCACTGCTTGGCCTAAGCAGCGGATGCACTCACAGGTCAGGGTAACGTTCTTCGCTGTACCATTAAGTTCCCAGATCCCAAGGTGGACCCTGTAAGTTACCCTGTAAGTTGCTGTTAATGGCTTATGTGTTTTAGAACTTTTTTGCCTGATGAGTCAGTAAGAATATCAACTGGTGGATTTGGACTACAAAAAGCCAGAAAACCACGTTTTCACTAAAAAGCCTCACTGCAGATCTTGGATCAAGGCTGGAGGCCACTGGTGAGGCGAGACCTCCCAGCCCAGTTCACACTCCAGGGACTGACAGCTCTGACGGCAGGTGGGAAACATGCAATTCTAGACCCGCTTGGACCAGACGTTTTGGGAAACTGAGGAACGCGGCAGCCTGCTCCCTGGATAACTTAAAATGAGATGAAACAACACTCAAGAGGTTTGGCTTTCCTGATCTGGGGCTGAACTGTGCACAGCCTTTCCCATCATTCCCTGGGACACGCCCACGAAGCCAGACCAGCCTCCTGAAATGCTCTCCCTGTGGGCGTGGCGGGGACGGAGAGTGGCAGCTCATGGAGTGCATTCAGCATGCCTGTCATCGACGCTGACAGAACTTCCTCCCTTGATGGATTGTGGTTCGGTTACTTTAGATCTGACTTTTCAGAGGCTATTTTGACATTTGTCCCTTTTAGAAAAGGACCTGAGACCGGGCATTCGTACTTGTGATGAGATTCGGTATTGGGGTCAAACACGTCCGCCAGAGATGTTCATCTGACAGGTCGGCCAAGGGGACAGCCACTGAGCATGCCCACATTGCGTGCTGATATGTCCACATTTCAAGGTGCTTGAGTAACAATTTGATGATATCTCAAGCCCCATTGGTGCCTGAAAATACTGTATTTCTCAGAGAATTGTATGTGCCATTCACATATGTAACAGCAGCTCTAAGCGAGCACGAGGGTTCATTTCTGCTGGAATGAACCGCCAGGACGGACTCAGCCTGCACCTCGTGGAAACCCTGCAACGCCTGACTCAAGACACCCTGCTGGATGCTGGGGGGCCATGGAGGACCATCGAGGGCCCTGGACCGTGGCGTGGGCCTGTCGTCATGCACCTCACCCCGCCCACAACTGCATACTTGTCTAGTATGAGTCCAGCCAACCTTCTAGACTCCGTGTGTATAAATCGTAAACTCAGGGAAACAGGATCTTCCTCGTCAGCCAGAGCCGTTTCGAAAATGAACGTTACCGAGATAGTTCCCTGGCTTCATGATGCTGGCAGGTGCTGGTGGGAGTCAGGGCAGACGTGGGGAGCCGCAGGCATCGTGCGGAGTCCAGCAGCCAAGTGGACCGGGTGTGGGCCTCGGACCCGGCTGTCTTCTCTCACTCTGCAACTCTGACTTTCCTTCCTGTGAGCTAACTTCCCAAGAGCGTTTCCATGCCTGCTCAGCCACAGGGTCTCCTCCTGGGGATGTCCCTGGTACAGGAGCAGAGAGGCCTGCAGACTCACAACACAGGTGAGCCCCAGGTGGGTTTCTTCCCAGGACTCACACGGTGGCCTGTCAGGCTCAAAATCTGCAGCCAATGTGAAGGACACTGGCTGCCACCCTCCCTGGCACACACAGGCTGTAGAAAGCACACATGGGCTGGTGCCGCAGGAATGCGCCAGAGTCTCTGACCTTCCACCTCACCAGAGCTGCAAGGCTGCCAGTTCTCTGGTGATTCCCCAGCCCAGCCCTCCATGCGCAAAGGCTCATTTCTGCCAGATGGCCAACACGGCAACCTCGCTGCCCCTCCCCTGAGGATGGCAGGACGATCAGATAAGCCACTGAGTCCCAGTGAATCCGAGGACCAGCTGTTCCCGACATGCCGCCACTCCTGGGCACATTGGGCAAAACGTGGCATCTGAACCCCACGACCCAATGAAATCAGTGGCTGATGACGTCCAGGGGCCGGGCTGGACACGAGGAGCCCCAGCAGGTGGAAGGGGCAGTCCGGGCCATCTCGGGGGCAGACTCAGCACCGAGAGTGTAGCCTTTCTGTGGAAAGGACATGTGTGGGAGGGTGGAGGCTGCATGCTGCCCTGGAGCCCAGACCCTCAGGTGGGGCTGGCCTGGCTGTGGCCCCACAGGAAGGGCTTCTGGGCCCAAAAGCCCCCTCCCGCCCCAGGACCCTCCACCCACTGTAGCTCACGTGGCTGCTGCCTATGCAGAGGCTGGGATTTCATGCTGGAGACCCAGAGTAACAGAACCCTAGACAGGAGCACTCACTCCAGAGAGGTGAGCACACATACCCCTTGTAAAGGAGGACAGACGCACACACATGCCCGTCACACGGGAGAAGGAGGCCTCCCTGGAGACAAGAAGCTGCAGGTGCCTGCCCCGGTGGTGGGACCCATGGGCTGTGCAGCCACTGGGTGTCACCAGGAAGAGGCTGGCATCTCAGGACTACAGGGAGGGACTTAGTCTGGTCAAGGTGCCCCAGCAGGTAGAACAAGGAGGGGAGCACATGGCTCAGGGTCCCCCAGGGAAGGGGCTGTGCCAGAGCCAGATGGGAAGGGGCAGGAGTGGGCATGTCTCCAGGGCAGCTGCTGGGTCCCCAGCTCTGCCATGACACCAGATGGCTGGGTGTAGACACAGAGCACAGATTCTGGGCTCCATCAGCAAATGTCAGAGCTGAGACGCTTTGCTGTTGCAGGAGCCGTGTCCCAGAACAAACCTCCAACCTCTGTCTTCTCCGCTGTGAGACGGATTCGATGGCAGTGCCTTTCCCCTGGGGTTTCTGTGAGGGGAAAACCGGGCGAGCGTCTGAGATGCTGCCCACCCGAGACCCCGCTGGCCTGTGCCGCAGGTGCACCGGGCTGCAGAGGAAGGGGTCGTGCTGGAGAAGCAGCCTCAAGGGCCTTTGCTTGCTGGGGTTTGGGCCTCTGGGTCCCCCAGCCCCGGCCCCAGCCCTGCATTCTCTGTGCCCTGCCCAATGCCCATCTCTGTGCCCTGCCCAATGCCCACCTCTGGGCTTTGATCCTGGGTTTTGTGTTGCTTTGCCTGCATTTTCTTAGCAAGGTCCTTTTAAAAATTCCAGTTTTCTTCTGATGAACTAAGGAGAAAGGGCATTATCCACAGGGAAAACCCACCCCAGAACGTCAGCTGTTCCTGGAAAATGGCACAGGGAAGGGGCTGTGCCCCTGCCTTAGACTGTCTGGGAGAAGGTAAGTCGAGGCTCACCTGCGTGCTCATGGAGCACTCGGAGGAGGGAGAGGCAGGAGGGGAGCACTGCTGTCAGGACACCAGCACATTTCCATGGAAGCAGCCGAAAGGCGGCACAAAGATGCCCCTGCAGAGCTCAGGACTCTGAAAGCCAGAACGTGATTCAGGCGACTTCACAGGACGGTCATCAGAGTGGCTGCATCTTCACCATCTGCAGGGACGCGGCTTCTACATCTTCACCATCTGTGGGGACGCGGCTTCTCCAGAAATCCTGCCGCCTGCTTTTGCAAGGTAAAGAATCATCGAACCTTCTCAAGATCTGTTTCCCTACCACTTTGCTTTCAGAAGGGCAGCGTTTCCGCCTGGCTGGCTCCGAGCGAGGAGGTGGAGAAGGTGTCGCCTGCCAGTGTCGCTAATTACGCCTGAGTCAGCCGAAGCCACCGCGGCCATTTAATGGCTGGAGCACGTTCTTTGAGAGTGGGAATGTTACGGAAAAGATGGCTTCATACTTCTCCCTCAGACGTGAAGAATAGAGACTTAGTTTGGGAACATCATGCTGAGTAAGTGCTTTTAAAGATCCATCCTCGTGAGTGCTGAAACAGCAGTGTGTCTAGAGAAGCACCTTCCTGAGGCACAGGAGCTGTGAACTGGCCCATTTCACAGACGGCAACAGTAAAACCAAGCACAGTGGCGGAGACGTGAAACATGAGAAGTCTCAGCACTGCAGAGAGTGACCAAGATTTCCCATCATCTCAGAAGTTGGGAGAGTTCATGGATTTCACCAACGAGGTGGGGGGAGCTACCAGCCTGCGGGGCCGCGCTGCACCTTCCAGATTTGCCCATGGGGTTTCTGAACTCCCACAGCGTGGGAAGTGTGATGCGTGTCTGTGCGGGAGACCCACAGATGCGGGCACCAGCTTCGACCTCCTCAGACCCGCGCGGCTCACAGCCTCCAACCTCAGCCCTCAGGCCTGCCTGGAGTCTTCCCTGGGCCCATCGTGTCTCTGCCTGTGCACCCTGAGAGGTCTCTTTCTCTCATTTTTGAACGTGTCTGGCTTCAGGCTTCTTTGTTCTTAGTGATAAGTCACTGAACCAGGAGCGCCTCTCTAAACTATGCTGCGTGTCCCAT